CAATTGATGTGTCTCTCTCACATCAGTGTTTCTCTCTCTCCCTCTTCCCCTTCCACTCTCTCTAAAAATCAATGGAAAAATATCCTTGGGTGACAAAAGAAATAGAAAAAGAAAGGGAGGGAGAGAGAAGAGACAGAGACCTCTCTTCCTCCCTCTGCATGCGTTCGCATGAAAGCCGTGTGGAGACGGGTTGGAGGCAGACTCCTGCCACCCGGAACAGAGCCTTCGCCGGCGCCCAGGCCCTGCTGGGACCTGGCCTTGGACTTTCAGCCTCTGGACTGTGGGAGAAGCACGTGTGCTGTGTAAGCCCCAGTCCGTGACATTTTTTATGGCAGCCCGAGCAGACTGAGCACCTTCTATGGAAGCAAGTGAACTGATGAAGAGAAACAGGAGACTTGGGGAGACTCCCGGCCCTCAGGGAATGAAGGGGGTGGCCGGAGTGGGCCTCGGCTGGGCGGTGTCAGTGCCCCGGGCGCTGCAGCAGGTACCCTGCCCTCCGAGCAGCTCCTCGTCCCCACCTGTGCTCCCACAGGCAGGCATCTCTTTCTAGTCCATTGTCCTCGTGGCCCTGGGTGTCCCTCGGGCTCAGGTTCCCGCAAGAGAACGTGCCCAGGAGGGGCTTCCCGTCTGGGTGTTGAGTACTCGCTGCTCCCTGGCCTGACAGTCGGCCAAGGACGGACAGGGCATGGCCTGCCTCCCGCTCCCTCCCCCAGGCCCCTTGCTGGAGCCTTGCACACTGGCAGCGCCTGGCCCCGCCTAAGAGCAGTGGAGGTGCCGGGGGACGGCGTCTGGACAGATGAGAGTCAGTGTCCCGCTAAGGAAGCTTTCCCGTCTGCTTCCCAAAGCCCCTCTCTGGCCTCTTGTTGCCCTGAGCTCTTGCATGTGCCCCTTCTCCCTTCTTCTGGTCCTTGAAACTGCATCCCTTACTTCTGGCTGTTTGCCCTCCTCTGGCCTCCTGAAGGCTTGTCTGTCTTCCTCTTCCAGTCGCACAGCCATGGCCTCCTTCCCAGGGAGGGTGCTGCCCCAGCCGCACAGCCATGGCTGCCTTCCCGGGGAGAGTGCTGCCCCAGCCGCACAGCCATGGCCTCCTTCCGGGGAAGGGTGCTGCCCAGCCCTGCCTCGTACAGCCATGGCCTCCTTCCCGGAGAGGGTGCTGCACCGGCCGCACAGCCATGGCCTCCTTCCCAGGGAGGGTGCTGCCCCAGCCGCACAGCCATGGCCTCCTTCCTCAGGGAGGGTGCTGCCCCAGCCGCACAGCCATGGCCACCTCCCAGGGAGGGTGCTGCCCCAGCCGCACAGCCATGGCACCTCCCAGGGAGGGTGCTGCCCCAGCCGCACAGCGATGGCCTCCTTCCCAGGAGGGTGCTGCCCTAGCCGCACAGCCATGGTCCTCCTTCCCAGGGAGGGTGCTGCCCCAGCCGCACAGCCATGGCCTCCTTCCCAGGGAGGGTGCTGCCCCAGCCGCACAGCCATGGCCTCCTTCCCAGGGAGGGTGCTGCCCCAGCGCACAGCATGGCCTCCTTCCCAGGGAGGGTGCTGCCCCAGCCGCACAGCCATGGCCTCCTTCCCAGGGAGGGTGCTGCCCCAGCTGCACAGCAATGGCCTCCTTCCCAGGGAGGGTGCTGCCCCAGCTGCACAGCCATGGCCTCCTTCCCGGGGAGGGTGCTGCCCAGCCTTGCCTTGCACAGCGATGGCCACCTTCCCGGGGAGGGTGCTGCCCAGCCTTGCCTTGCACAGCGATGGCCACTTTCCCGGGGAGGGTGCCCCCCTAGCCACTGCCTCGGTGGGGAGAAGGGAGGTTCTGCTCTCACGTTGTGAAGCCCCAGCCCTCCTTGGACAGGAATCCCTGTTTCCTCTCCCAGCAGCAGGACAGGCCTTGCGTTTATTTGTAGAACAGCTGACCCTTGAGCTTCACGATCAATGTCACTTTACCCAGCAGATTACCACCTACAGACGTTTTCCAAGCTTCCCTTGATATTTTATTCTCTGTCCACAAAGGGACCCCGTGGGGGCATCTCCTAATACCTTATAATAATATGCCATCAAAATAGTTTACTTATGTATTGCACATAAAATTCCCTGGGAAGGGAGGGGAACCTACCAGGGTATTGACTGTAGGACAGAATTTAGGGGGAAGTGGAGGGGAATAAGGAAGAAAAGAAAAAGATAACTTGGGAAAATGTCTTCATTTTAATATATGTATATTAAATATAATTTGTTTTTTTTAAATATATTTTATTGATTTTTTACAGAGAGGAAGGGAGAGAGAGAGTTAGAAACATCGATGAGAGAGAAACATTGATCAGCTGCCTCCTGCACACCTCCTCCTGGGGATGTGCCTGCAACCAAGGCACACGCCCCTGACCGGAATCGAACCCGGGACCCTTTAGTCCACAGGCCGACACTCTATTCACTGAGCCAAACCAGTCAGGGCATAATTTGGGTTTTTTAAACAATTGACTCCAAATCTGTAAAGCCATAAAAATCAGGTTAGTGTTTGTGGCCACTTTACCCGTTTCCCCCAGCTAGCATGCGTCACGTGGCAGGTGGGGCTTGCTCACACCCTGTCATGGAGGCACATTTACCTGAGATTTCAGTCATAGTCATGGCCTCTCATATTTTATTTGACAAAAAAATAGAAACCACCACAACATTTTAATACTTGCTTTAAAATTATTTTCCCAGCCCTAGCCAGTTTTACTCAGTGGCTAGAGCTTCAGACTGTGGACCAAAGGGTCCCGGGTTCGATTCTGGTCAAGGGCACATACCTTGGTTGCAGACTCTTCCCCATCCCAGGCCCTGGTCGGGGCTCGTGCAGGAGGCAAGCAATCGACGTGTTTCTCTCACATCAATGTTTCTTTCTCTGTCCCTCTCTCTTCCACTCTTCCTAAAAATCAATGGAAAATATCCTTGGGTGAGGATTCAGAAAAAAATAAAATAAAATAAAATGATTTGCCCACCCAGTGTGATTCGGTGGTTAAGCATCAACCCAGGCACCACATGGTTACTGGTTCAATTCCCGGTCAGGGCATATGCCTGGCTTGTGGGTCCGACACCCAGTAGAGAGCATGCAGGAGGCAGCCAATCAATGTTTCTCTATTCCTCTCCCTTCCTCTCCCTCTAAAAGTCAATAAAAACATTTTTTTTAAAGAGTAAAATGTTAAACCTGGGAGGTATTAATTGAATATAACATGTTTGTAGGTCAAACCATTACAAGAAAGAATTGCCCAGGAATCTTTACTAGTCCTTATCTGTTACGTTAGATTTGTAAACATCTTGGAGGAGGGGGTTTCTTTCCTAATGTGCCCTGAATTCTTCCCTTCATGCGGAAGCTCTCCCAGGACATGTGTGTCTGTCCTTAGTGTTTCTAACCAGCTGATGACCCAAAGCCTTTTAAAGTAATTTTTCCTGTGAGTGCGTTTTCTAAGAGACAAATCACCCTTTATTTTGCTATGTTTTGCTGATAGCAAAGATAACTTTGTTTCCCTTTCCTGTATCGTGGTCTTGCACTCTTCTCTTTGCCCTGCATGTAACAAAAGAGAACGGGAAAATCCTGTAGAGAAAACACCCAGTGATCAGACTCGGCTCTGAGGAAGGGTGACGCCTTTCTTCTGCGCATGGGCCGGGAGCTCCGTGGCTCCGTCTGCACACTGTCGGCCAGCAGTGTGGAAAGGAAGCTGCTTCGTCGGTTGCCGCATTGCATCAGGGGCCTTTACCTGACAGTTTCCAGCTTCTCTGATCAATGCCTGGGCTTCCTCAGCCCGTGGAGAGCAGCTGCCTCTAGACCAGGGGTCGCCAACCGGTGGTCCGCGGACCACTGGTGGCCCATGAGGTCAGAAAGGTTGGTGACCGCTGCTCTAGACAGTGCCACACCCCTTACCCCCCTGTCTGGGCCCCCTCTCCCCTGTGGTCCTCCCAGCTTCCTGAGACTGGGCCCTTCTCATCCTGATTACACCGTTGTTTCTCTTAGAACTGAGAAGTGGTTATGCATCTCATTTCCCTGTTACAAGTAGAAAATAAAGGATCGAGCGGACTACTTTTTAAGATAATGACCCACTTGACTTATTTTTCTTACTCTGTGAGCCTCTGAGTTTATAGACTCAGTAGACGAGGAGCCCACTGTGTTCCCCACTGTGGCTACCACTGTCTAGTATAATTGCAGCCTCCTCCAGGGCCTGCTTCTGCTAATTCGCTGACAGTGACATAGCAACCAGAAGTATCTGTGCTTCCCCACAGGAGTTTCCTCAGACGGCCAGTGTTCTCTGCACAAAGATAAGTGCTCAGGAAAGTATAAATGAGGTAGCTGCTTGTTGCCAGGAGCGTTGTGTGTGCCTACCAGCGGTGTAGAACAGAAGGAGGGCCGCCCGGCCCTGGCAGAGCCTCACTCCAAACCCCGAGCGCTGCAGCAGAGAGGGACCGGCTGCTTTGCTATGAGTGGCCCACCCGAGAGAGCGGGAAGCCCATGCGCAAAAGCCCGGCTCCCGATGGTGTGCAGGCCCCAGATGAAATAGGGCAAAAGCACAAGACACCGAGGGCTAGGGGTGCCCTGATTTGTTGGACCTGGGGAGAAGTGGGGAGAAAGAGAGGAGGGGGTGTGATTTGTAGAGCTGGGATCTAAAACTAAGTTTAATCAAAGTCATAAGGGCCCTGGGTTTGACCAGGGGGGATTTTTGCCTTCAAGCTTGTTTTTACTCTCACCCACGTACCCTCTCACCTGGCCTACGTGACTAGGTAAGTGGGTGTTTCCAAACGCGAATGCCACAGGACAGGCTGGGGATGTGCTTCAGAGAACGTGATGGTGACGTCATTCGGCCTGAGTGTCAGAAGACAGCAGGGACGATGGTGGCTCACTGGGCATGCTTGCCCTGTCCCAGGGCCAGCTGACCCTCCACGTGGCGTTCCTTGAGTAGGGTTTGCAACCAGCTGTTTTCTCCTCCTTCCCAGCATCCCCGGGGCTACGTGTCTCACATCTCTCCTCTTTCTCTCCTGTTTTCCATCAGGTGGCAGCAGACTTCCAAGTCTTCAGGGTTGTCCAGCAGCTTGCAGCCTGCGGGTGCCAAAGCTGATGCCCTCAGGGAAGAAATGGAGGAGGCTGCCAACAGAGTGGAGATTTGCAGGGTACCCCCTCTTTGTTCCTCTCTACTGAGACAGACGGGGGAGCCCTAAGGGAGTCCCTTTTTGTTCACGGGAGTTCTGTTAAAACCCTAAGGGTGAGCCTCAGCTTGAACTAACTGACCCCAGCTTGCCGGCCAGCGTCTGCAAAGAGCCGGGCATGAATCCTGAGAGCTGGGGCTCTGAGGGTGACATAGACAGGTGGGCAGCAGGGCTGATCATTGGTGTTCCTGCCTGGTAGGCAAAGAGAAAATGACTGTGGTGTCTGCTTGAAGCTTTTGTGAGTCGTGCATCCCAATTCATAGATTCTAGGCTGCATAGCACAGTTGATCATCTCCAGGGGTGGGGAACGTTCAACCCAAGGGCCTGTAAAAATCATTTGGTCTGGCCCTGCCAAGGCAGTAGGGGGGGGTTAATTAAATGTTTGACCAAATATAGTAGACTAAGTTGATAATTTTGTATGGCCCACGAATGATGTTACAAATATCCAAATATACAGATCTGTTAGAATATTTATTTATTTACTTACTTATTTTTAAATATATTTTTATTGATTTCAGAGAGGAAGGGGGCGGGAGAGAGAGATAGAAACATCAGTGATAAGAGAGAATCATTGATTGGCTGCCTCCTGCACACTCTCTACTGGGGATCAAGTCTGCAACCTGGGCATGTGTCCTGACTGGGAATTGAACCATGACCTCCTGGTTCATAGGGTTGACACTCAACCACTGAGCCATGCCGGTTGGGCCCCACCCCTGATTTAGACAACACATGAGCCTTAGCTCACTGTTGGTAAATTACCTCGGGTGCCTTTTAATATTTCCCAGTCACTTTATCAATCCCTCGCTGCTGGGAGACGCTTCCCTACCTCGCCCAGGAGGTAGTCCCAGAGGAGAAAAGTTCCCAGCTGAGAAGAATGCCTCCTGAGAAGCCCACCTCCGCACTCAGGGGTGGGGGAGACCTTCATCACACGTGGTCAGATGTGTCCCGGCCGCTTCTCCCACAGACGTTTCATAGGACTGACAGCAGTACCATTCATGCAATGCCATTAGCAGTGCCATTCTCTGTGCATGGACATCTGCAAATGTACAGATCTGTTAGTTTGGGGATAAAGCTCATGCTTCTGGAACTATGCTGGGAACTGCTGTCTTCATCACAGTTTTAGGGGAAAGTAGCCCCTCTGCATGCAGATGCCCCTGTTCTGTGCAGCTCTGTCTAGTCTGTTAGCTTGTCCACCAGCTTCTCTTTGGTGATCACCCCGTGCAGCTGCCTTTGACCTTGCCTTCAGGTGACACTCAGAGTCAGGTGGAACTTCTCTCTGGAATTAGAAACATTGAAAAATGTTTAAAGAATTAATGATCTCGCCCAGCCCATGTGGCTCCCCGTGATTGAGCATCGACCTATGAACCAGGAGGTCATAGTTCAATTCCGGTCAGGGCACATGCCCGGGTTGCAGGCTCAATCCCCAGTATGGGATGGGGAAGGCAGCTGATCAATGACTCTCTCTCTCATCATTGATGTTTCTGTCTCTCTCTCCCTCTCCCTTCTCTGAAATCAATAAAAATATATTAAAAAAAATAATTAATGATCTCAGCCTGCAGTACTGTACAACCAAGTGAAGTAAGTCCAGTACTTCAGGGGTTTTGGCAGACGTACAGTGACATGCATTCACCACTGTGGTGTCACACAGAACAGGTTCCCTGCCCTACAAGTCCTCTGTGCCTGATCACCCCCACCCTCTCCCCCACCCTGGCAAGCACTGGTCTGCTCACGGTCTCCACTGGTTTGCGTTTTCCAGAATGTCGTGTAGCTGAATCGTGGTCAGGGGCCTTCTCAGGCTGGCTTCTTTCACTTCCTGTCTCTCCACTTAATGCCTTTCACTTAATGTCTCCATGTCTTTTCATGGCTTAATTGCGCATTGCTTTTTAGTGCTGAATAATATTCCATTTTCTGTATATACTACAGTTTATTTATCTTCTTACCTACTAAAGGAGATCTTGGTTGCCTACAGGTTTTGGCAATTACAAATAAAGCTGCTGTGAACATCTGTGTGCAGGTATTTGTACATTTGCAATTAATTTGGGGTAAAAACCAAGAAGCCTAATTTCGGGATCTTGTGGTAAGAGTATCTTTCATTTTGTAAGAAACTTCCACACTGAGTCCCAAAGTGGTCCTACCATTTCGTAGTCCAATAACAAATGAGAGTTGCTTTGTTCCACATCCTTGACAACAGGTGGTGGTGTCAGTGTTTTGAAGTTCAGCGATTCTAATAGTGCTATCTCATTGTTATTTTAATTTGCAATTAAAATCCCAATATCACTTTGGGATTTTCCCTGCTAGCTTTCTGTATGGACTTCTAATTTCATTTCATTGTGGTCAGAGAGCAGGTATTATATGATTTCTATGTTTTTAAACTTGGTAAGGTGTATTTTGTAGCCCAGAATGTGGTCTCTCTTGGTGAATGTTCCCTGTGAGCTTGAAAAGAATGTGTGTGCTGCTGCTGTTGGGTGGAGTAGTCTATAGATATCAATTATACCTGCTTGATTGATTATGCCGTTAAGTTCAACCATGTCCACACTGATTTCATGCCTTCTGGCGTGTCTATTTCTTATATAAGGGTGATAAGTCCAACTATAAGAATGGACTCCTATTTCCTCTTGTAGTTGTATCATTTTTGCATTGCATAGTTTGATGCTCTGTGGTTAGGTACATCATTAAGGGTTGTTATGTTTTCTTGTAGAATCAGCCCTTTATCATTATGCATGATTCCTCTTTAATCTGATACTTTCCTTGCTCTGAATTCTGCTCTGTGGGAAATGAATATAGCTAAGCCAGCTTCTTCTGATTAGTGTTAGCATGGTGTATCTTTCTCCATCCCTTTACTTTTAATTTATATATTGATACTTAATATATAGATGGTGATATGTATCTTTATATTTAACCTGAGTTTCTTATAGACAACATACTTGGTCTCTTTTAATCTATTGTGACCATTTCTGTCTTTCCATTGGTGTATTTATTCAGTCCATTGATATCTAGGAGATCACTGATATAATTGGATTGATATCTGTCATATTTGTTATTTTTCTAGTGTTGCCTTTGTACTTTGCTACTATTTTTGTCCTCTACCTTTTTTTCTGCCTTTTGAAGTTTTAATTGAGCATTTTTTATGGTTCCGTTTTTTTCTCCTTTCTTAGCATATCAATTACATTTCTTTTTCTTTTCTTACCTTTTTAGTAGTTGCCCTGTAGCTTGCAATATACATTTACAACTAATCCAAGTCCACTTTTGAGTAACACTTTTCTGCCTCACATGTAATGCATGTACCTTTTAGTAACAAACTATTTCTAATTCCATCCATTTCACTTATACATAAGCATACATAGCATAGATATGTATGTATGTTTACACACACATACATACATACAGTGTTGCTATTATTTTGAACAAACATATCTGTTAGATCAATTAAGAATAAGTTTATTTTATCTTTACATATTCCTTCTCTGATTCTCTTCCTTTCTTTATGTAGAGCTACGTTTCTGACCAATATAATTTTCCTTCCACTGAAGAAATTTTTTTAACATTTCTTGCAAGGCAGGTCTACTGGCAACAAATTCTCTCAATTTCCATTTGTCTGAGAAAGCCTTTAGTTCTTTACTTTTGAAGTCTAATTTGACAGGGTGCAAAATTCGAGGCTGGTGGGTATTCTTGTTTGTGTTTTTATCTTAACACTTTAAGTATTCCACTTCTCTCTCTTCTTGCTTATATGGTTTCTGAGGAGAAAGTTGTAATTCTTATCTTTGCCCCTCTGTGGGTACTATGTTTCTCCTCTGTGGTTCTTTCAAAAATATTTTTTAATATTTTTTTTCTGAATATGATATGCCTATATGCACCTTTTTTTGGGGGGTGGGGGGGGGGCATTTATCCTGTTTGGTGTTCTCTGAGCTTTCTGGACCTGTGGTTTAGTATCTGACATCCACTTGGGGAAAGTCTCACTCGTTATTTCTTCAAATGTTGCTTCTGTTCCTTTCTTTCTTCTCTTCCTTCTAGTATTTCAATCAAGCATATGTTACACATTCGGAAGTTGCCCCACAGTTCTCAGGTATTCTGTTCCTTTTGTTCCTGTCTTCTTTCTCTGCTTTTCAGTTTTGAAGTTTTGTTGTCATATCCTCTAGCTCTGAGGTCCTATCCTCAGTCATATCCAATTTGCAGACAAACCCATCAAAGGCCTGGTTTACTTATGTGACAGCATTTCTTTTCTTTTTCCTTTTTAATGTATAGCATCCATCCATATGTTCTTGCATGTTGTCGACTTTTTCCATTAAAATCGTTAGCATATTAATCATAGTTTAAAAACATGTTCCTAGCCTGATAATGCCGCCGTTTTTGCCATATCCAACCCAGGCTGGGATGCTTGTTTCATTTCTTCAATCTGCGTTTTTGCAGTTTAGTATGAAAAAGGTGGGTGTGGCGGAGTGGGTAAAGGGAACTGTGGTAGCTGGGCCTTGAGTGACAGGGCGGGGAGGGA